CCAGCAGAGGGGATCTGGGTACAGGGGATCCGGCAGAGGGGATCTGGGTACAGGGGATCCAGCAGAGGGGATCTGGGTACAGGGGATCCAGCAGAGGGGATCTGGGTACAGGGGATCCAGCAGAGGGGATCTGGGTACAGGGGATCCAGCAGAGGGGATCTGGGTACAGGGGATCCAGCAGAGGGGATCTGGGTACAGGGGATCCAGCAGAGGGGATCTGGGTACAGGGGATCCAGCAGAGGGGATCTGGGTACAGGGGATCCAGCAGAGGGGATCTGGGTACAGGGGATCCAGCAGAGGGGATCTGGGTACAGGGGATCCAGCAGAGGGGATCTGGGTACAGGGGATCCAGCAGAGGGGATCTGGGTACAGGGGATCCAGCAGAGGGGATCTGGGTACAGGGGATCCAGCAGAGGGGATCTGGGTACAGGGGATCCAGCAGAGGGGATCTGGGTACAGGGGATCCAGCAGAGGGGATCTGGGTACAGGGGATCCAGCAGAGGGGATCTGGGTACAGGGGATCCAGCAGAGGGGATCTGGGTACAGGGGATCCAGCAGAGGGGATCTGGGTACAGGGGATCCAGCAGAGGGGATCTGGGTACAGGGGATCCAGCAGAGGGGATCTGGGTACAGGGGATCCAGCAGAGGGGATCTGGGTACAGGGGATCCAGCAGAGGGGATCTGGGTACAGGGGATCCAGCAGAGGGGATCTGGGTACAGGGGATCCAGCAGAGGGGATCTGGGTACAGGGGATCCAGCAGAGGGGATCTGGGTACAGGGGATCCAGCAGAGGGGATCTGGGTACAGGGGATCCAGCAGAGGGGATCTGGGTACAGGGGATCCAGCAGAGGGGATCTGGGTACAGGGGATCCAGCAGAGGGGATCTGGGTACAGGGGATCCAGCAGAGGGGATCTGGGTACAGGGGATCCAGCAGAGGGGATCTGGGTACAGGGGATCCAGCAGAGGGGATCTGGGTACAGGGGATCCAGCAGAGGGGATCTGGGTACAGGGGATCCAGCAGAGGGGATCTGGGTACAGGGGATCCAGCAGAGGGGATCTGGGTACAGGGGATCCAGCAGAGGGGATCTGGGTACAGGGGATCCAGCAGAGGGGATCTGGGTACAGGGGATCCAGCAGAGGGGATCTGGGTACAGGGGATCCAGCAGAGGGGATCTGGGTACAGGGGATCCAGCAGAGGGGATCTGGGTACAGGGGATCCAGCAGAGGGGATCTGGGTACAGGGGATCCAGCAGAGGGGATCTGGGTACAGGGGATCCAGCAGAGGGGATCTGGGTACAGGGGATCCAGCAGAGGGGATCTGGGTACAGGGGATCCAGCAGAGGGGATCTGGGTACAGGGGATCCAGCAGAGGGGATCTGGGTACAGGGGATCCAGCAGAGGGGATCTGGGTACAGGGGATCCAGCAGAGGGGATCTGGGTACAGGGGATCCAGCAGAGGGGATCTGGGTACAGGGGATCCAGCAGAGGGGATCTGGGTACAGGGGATCCAGCAGAGGGGATCTGGGTACAGGGGATCCAGCAGAGGGGATCTGGGTACAGGGGATCCAGCAGAGGGGATCTGGGTACAGGGGATCCAGCAGAGGGGATCTGGGTACAGGGGATCCAGCAGAGGGGATCTGGGTACAGGGGATCCAGCAGAGGGGATCTGGGTACAGGGGATCCAGCAGAGGGGATCTGGGTACAGGGGATCCAGCAGAGGGGATCTGGGTACAGGGGATCCAGCAGAGGGGATCTGGGTACAGGGGATCCAGCAGAGGGGATCTGGGTACAGGGGATCCAGCAGAGGGGATCTGGGTACAGGGGATCCAGCAGAGGGGATCTGGGTACAGGGGATCCAGCAGAGGGGATCTGGGTACAGGGGATCCAGCAGAGGGGATCTGGGTACAGGGGATCCAGCAGAGGGGATCTGGATACAGGGGATCCAGCAGAGGGGATCTGGATACAGGGGATCCAGCAGAGGGGATCTGGGTACAGGTGATCTGGGTACAGGGGATCCAGCAGAGCATTTTTCATCTTCTCCATTGAGGGACATTGGCTCCCTCAGGATTGGTACCCGGGGGGGTTTATTGTACCAGCTTCAGGGGTCACTTATCTACCCTTATGGCATATTACGCTGGGATGTTCCTCACATTCTTGGATCTCTCTGTGATTGGTTGCCCGGCCAGAAACCTCATTCTTCTAGTGTAACCTTCCTTAAGGGTGGCGAGTGTTAGGCTTGGGCCCTCACATACAGACCAGTTGGTCTTCTCTTTCTTGGCCAAGGTTCTCTCTGGTGATCGGCTTTCCTGGGCCTTTGTCCCGGTGTTGTGGAGGAGCGATCTCGTCTGAGGAGGACCTCTCCATCTGACCGGGCATTTCTCCTCTTCTGGTCCAGACTCGGGGGTTGATCCTTCAGGTAGTTCCAAGTTGCAGACGGTTTCCAGTCCCTTCTTATGGGCATGTCCTGGGCACAAAACGCCCAGGTGTGAAGCGGGCCTAAGGTGGAATAACTCAGCAACAAGCCAGAGCTCAGGCCAGGTTTTTATAGCCAGGGGATGTAAGACCGCCCCCCCGGTCACCGAGGCAACCAGGAGGCCTCCCTCCCCGGGAGCCAATGGCAGGCGAGAAAGATGGAAGGTGTGTGCTGGGAACCTCCCCCAGCAAGGCCCACACCTGATAGCGCTACTGGCGCAGGAGGGCTACGCGTGCACAACTCGTGCATGCGCACCCGCAACCCGGGCACCAGGAGTTCTACCAGGCAGGAGGGGAACCCGTGCCCGTTGTCCCCGTACAGAGGTAACACCCCCTGGCTTCCTGACATCCATTGAGGCACACAGGTCCCGCTCCTCGGTGTTTTATGCTTTCCCTTAGGTTTAGGGGTAGCAAACCTCTGGCCCTCCAGCTGTGGGGTGGAACTACAAATCCCATGATGCATCTCTCTTCGGTGAGTCATGTCTGTGGCTGTGAGAATCATGCAATGCCTCATGGGATTTGTAGTTCCACCCCACAGCTGGAGGGCCGGAGGTTTGCTACCCCCGCCTTCGGTGCTGCTTTTCCCCAAAAGTGAGGCATGCTGGGTAGCGGAAGGTTATATGGGGGCTGGCTTACAATTTTACCATCTGAAGGCGCCCGTATAACCCAACTATGTGAATTTCTGTGTCCCTCAATGGACTACCAAGAAGAGATTGCGGTACAGAAATCGGTGGCGTGGCCGATAACAACACGGAGGCGGAGCCAGGAAATATTAGAGTGTATCTAAAGCCACAATGTTTCCTTTATTCTATTCTGGATGGAGCGGGGGAAGGGTTAATCCTGGTTGGAGATTTACTGTTCAGTCATTTATTGGGGTTCCTGTAGCCTGGAGGAGCAGTGCCCTCCCCCCATATAGGAAGGTAGGTGATGTTATCGGAGTAGGTAAGTTGCTGGGGATGGAATCCCGGGAGACTCGTACTGAAGAGCTGACGCTCCAGGGAACAGGTGTACCAGGGGCCGGGGGCTGCCAATAGTCACATGGAATGCCGGGCCGAGGTGTGAGCGAGAGGGCCAGCGAGGGTTCCGCAGGACGGGTGCCAGTCCTGGGACTGATCCCCTCCGAGGGGCCGTGAATCACATTTTCACACCTTATTAAAAACAAAACGCGCTTTCATCGGGGGCAGGAAATGAGTTTTATAGGATTTCCAGGTCCCGGCCCCCAACCGGCCCCCAAATGATATAAATACGCCGGGAGAGAGCGGGGGGAGGAAGACAGCATGAGTACACCCGACCGGGAGCACTCCGCATAGGGACTCACACACCGGGAGCACTCCGCATAGGGACTCACACACCGGGAGCACTCCGCATAGGGACTCACACACAGGGAGCACTCCGCATAGGGACTCACACACAGGGAGCACTCCGCATAGGGACTCACACACAGGGAGCACTCCGCATAGGGACTCACACACAGGGAGCACTCCGCATAGGGACTCACACACCGGGAGCACTCCGCATAGGGACTCACACACCGGGAGCACTCCGCATAGGGACTCACACACCGGGAGCACTCCGCATAGGGACTCACACACCGGGAGCACTCCGCATAGGGACTCACACACCGGGAGCACTCCGCATAGGGACTCACACACCGGGAGCACTCCGCATAGGGACTCACACACCGGGAGCACTCCGCATAGGGACTCACACACCGGGAGCACTCCGCATAGGGACTCACACACCGGGAGCACTCCGCATAGGGACTCACACTGGGAGCACTCCGCATAGGGACTCATACACGGGGAGCACTCCGCATAGGGACTCATACACGGGGAGCACTCCGCATAGGGACTCATACACGGGGAGCACTCCGCATAGGGACTCATACACGGGGAGCACTCCGCATAGGGACTCATACACGGGGAGCACTCCGCATAGGGACTCATACACGGGGAGCACTCCGCATAGGGACTCATACACGGGGAGCACTCCGCATAGGGACTCATACACGGGGAGCACTCCGCATAGGGACTCATACACGGGGAGCACTCCGCATAGGGACTCATACACGGGGAGCACTCCGCATAGGGACTCATACACGGGGAGCACTCCGCATAGGGACTCATACACGGGGAGCACTCCGCATAGGGACTCATACACGGGGAGCACTCCGCATAGGGACTCATACACGGGGAGCACTCCGCATAGGGACTCATACACGGGGAGCACTCCGCATAGGGACTCATACACGGGGAGCACTCCGCATAGGGACTCATACACGGGGAGCACTCCGCATAGGGACTCATACACGGGGAGCACTCCGCATAGGGACTCATACACGGGGAGCACTCCGCATAGGGACTCATACACAGGGAGCACTCCGCATAGGGACATAGAAGGGGAGCATTCTGTCTGCAGACACAGAGGGGGACATAGCAGGGACACAAGCAGGTAGGTCTCCATACAAACACACGCAGAGGCCGGGTCCCCCTCATATCCTCGGGGAGCGATCCCAGGAGCCACAAGCATGCTGCATCCACGGACACCCCCACTTCTGAGGCTCCTCCTTCTGTTCCTCGTCCTCCCGCACACGCAGAGTCGCTGCTACTTCCAGGCCAGAGGTAGGTACCAGGACTCCGCCATTATATTGGGTCTGTATTGAACATGTTCAGGGGTTCTACAGATGGGAAGTACAATGATACTGGGGAATGGCACTGTATAGGGACTATGGCTGGGGAATGGCACTGTATAGGGACCATGGCTGGGGAATGGCACTGTATAGGGACTATGGCTGGGGACTGGCACTGTATAGGGACTACGGCTGGGGACTGGCACTGTATAGGGACTACGGCTGGGGAATGGCATTGTATAGGGACCATGGCTGGGGAATGGCACCGTGCTGGATCATGGCTGGGGACTGGCACTGCATAGGGACCATGGCTGGGGAATGGCACTGTATAGGGACTATGGCTGGGGAATGGCATTGTGTAGGGACCATGGCTGGGGAATGGCACTGTGTAGGGACCATGGCTGGGGAATGGCACTGTATAGGGACTATGGCTGGGGAATGGCACTGTATAGGGAC